ATTCAGTAAATGTCCATGTTGCACACAGAAAGTATCTCAGATTTAGATGGGGAAATGGTCTCTATCAATTTACATGTATGCCGAATGGCTTAGCTTGTGCCCCTCGTGTATTCACTAAGATACTGAAACCAGTCTATTCCTATCTCATGTGTCAAGGTAATCAGTGCCTCGGATATATTGACGATTCTTTTACTCAAGCAACAGAAAAAGAAAACTGTTCAGTTTCAGTATGTGAAATGTCAAGAGCCTTCAGTTCACTTGGCTTTACAGTTAATTTTGAGAAATCTGTTTTAGAACCATCCACTAAAATAAAATTTCTTGGTTTCCACATTGACTCAGAAAAAATGACACTGGCTTTACCAGATGACAAAGCTCAGACTATCCAAACAAAATGCAATTTAGTTTTGACTCAGCAACAATGTTCTGTAAGGACAGTGGCTCAGTTGCTAGGTCTATTTGTAAGCACATTCCATGCTGTCAATTTCGGACCACTGCACTACATACAACTAGATAAGGAAAAAACGGAGGCACTTCAAGATAATTATGGTGACTTTGTTGCAATGATGGTATTATCAGAGGATGCTAAGCAGGAAATAAAATGGTGGAAGGACAATGCCATGGGTGCAGAGAAACACATTACAACTTCCTCCGAGCCAGATATGGAAATTAGTACTGATGCTAGTCTATTAGGATGGGGGGCTTGTAATAACAAGAAGTCTATAGGAGGCCGTTGGTCACTCCAGGAGAAGCAGCTCCATATTAATACCTTGGAAATGAAAGCTGTCTATCTAGCCCTTCAAGCTTTCTCCCTGACTGAGTCATTTAAAGGAAAACATGTCCACATTTTATGTGATAATACTACAGCAGTGGCTTACTTAAAAGCTATGGGAGGTTCGAAATCTAAAGTTTGTAATGATCATGGAAGGGAAATTTGGTTCTGGTGTATAGAACATAGTGTGTGGTTGACAGTGGCTCATGTGCCGGGACTGACAAATGTTGAATCTGACAGAGCGTCAAGAAATTTTTCTGAGCAAACTGAGTGTTCTTTGGACATAACTGTGTTTCAGAAAATCCTCGAACACTTTGGTGTGAATCCAGCCATAGATATGTTTGCTTCGCGTTTAAACACGAAGCTTCCACGTTTTGTCAGTTGGCGGCCAAAGCCTGAAGCTGTAGATGCTTTCAGTTTGTCATGGTCAAAAGAGCTAATTTATTGCTTCCCACCTTTTTGTCTCTTGTCTAAGTGCTTGCAGAAAATACAGTCAGATAAAGCAGATGCTCTTGTTATTACTCCACTATGGTCAACCCAGTCATGGTTTTCGCAATTAATCAAAATGATTTGTTGTAGGCCTGTCAAGTTGCCCAAAGGGAAGACTGTGGTTATGTCACTGGACAGGAAGGTTCACCCGCTAGGAAAGAGACTGAATCTGACAGCTTTCCTACTCTCCGGCAAATATGCGCAGACAGAGGCATTTCTTCAGATGCAACCAGTGTCATCATCAGTTCGTGGCGTTCCGGCACCAGGAAGCAGTACGCTACATATATCCGGAAATGGAGACTCTTTTGTTGTGAAAGGGAAATTGATTTTACTAGACCACATCTAGGACAGGTGTTGGACTTTTTTATGTGTTTATTGAACCAAAAACTTGGTTACAGCTCTATACAGACAGCACGATGTGCGTTATCAACATTTATTGATTTGGACAATAGACCTTGTGGATCACACCCTGTAGTGTGTTGGTTTCTGAAGGGTGTTTTCGAGATGTTGCCACCAAAACCACGTTATACAGAGATGTGGAGTGTGACTGATGTTTTGCATTTTGTTCAGAAGCTTACACCGCTGAAAGATTTATCTTTAAATGATTTGACTATCAAGTTAGTAATGTTGCTTTCATTAGTGTCTGCCCAGAGAGGTCAGACCTTACACTTGTTAGATATAGACCTTATGACAAGGAATCAGGATGATACTTTGTTTACATTTCATATTGACAAATTAGTCAAGCAGTCTAGACCAGGTAGATTACCTAAACCAGTTGAAGTCAGGGCCTATTCTCATGACAAGTCACTTTGCCCACTGAACACTTTGAAGTGTTACCTCAGCAGAACTGAGAGCATCAGAGGATCGGTTACACAACTATTTATAACTTACATTAGGCCTCACAATGCAGTGTCAAGAGACACACTGTCGAGATGGACAAAACTCGGACTTCATAAGTCTGGTGTGGACATTCAGGTATTTAAAGCCCATAGTGTTCGTGCTGCCTCCACCTCTGCGGGGAGGTGTGCATCTGTACCCATTTCAAACATTTTGGAAAAGGCTGATTGGTCATCAGAGAGAACATTTGCCACATTCTATCACAAGCCTATTGTAAGGGACAGAGGTCTGTTTGAATCAGCAGTGTTGGGCAGTGTGAATGAGTAAATATTGCTGGGTTGGAAAAGGTGGCAGGACTTGTCAGTCAATGCAATGTACTCTAAGTCAGTGTACACAATGGTTATGTGCGACTTATGATGTTTATATTGTCAAGGATAGCTACCTTCACTACCATTGTATTTGAGAACAATACATTTAACAATTAAACTCTTTTGAACATTGCCATTGTTCTGAAGCGTCCGGGAACAATTGTCAGGAGACAAGTGTCCGGGAACAAGTCTCATGTTCCTGGACACAGTGGTTGACTCATGGGTACACAACAGCTTTGCGGAAAGCGTTAAAGTTGGCATGCAGCACGTGCTTCTTGCTGGATGAACGCAAAATGCGCATGCTCTAGACACAGTTTATTTCAGTTGGCTTCTGGCATTCAAATGGATATCTCTCTCTAAGTTACCAAATAGTGAATTAGAATAGTACAGAAATAGAATAGAATAGAAATAGTTGAGAGAGTTACCCATTTACATTGTTACCATACGGCAACTTCACTATAAGTTTCAAATCCATTTCATTTGATCTTATCACATTTTCATTGTTCATTACATTACAAGGGGATTTCACGTTTAGTTGATTACAAGGGGATTTCACGTTCAGTTGATTGCAAGGTAAGTTCATGTTTAGTTTAGTTTAGTCTTCCACTGCGAACCAGCCATTCTTTTTTCATATTTGGAATAAAGGTTTCCACTTATGGTGTATTCCCAGCTCATACGAGTGTATATCAGTCTTTAAAATCTCATGGAATCTCGAACATTACCTGTAAGTTGAATGTTGACTGTGGTTCTATCAGCTAATCTTAAGTAATGGAGGGATAACATGCCCTCCCGTGGATTCCCACCCTTTTTTCTGGGTATAAGTAATATTTCTGATACACACTCGTACTTTAAAGTCTGACTCACGCATGCGCATTGCAATCTCATGTAATCCCTCCATTACTTAAGATTAGCTGATAGAACCACAGTCAACATTCAACTTACAGGTAAGTCTCGTTTAACTTTTAGATTATGGTGGTAATACTGTATCGTTGGGAACTATGAGCAACTCTTCTCGTACAAATGCCCTGCCCGGTCCATCTTTAAGATAATAAAGAATAGGCTCTCCTTCTTTCATAACCAATCGACTAATGTTATATATCTTATGGGACCAAATTGGATCGGTTGTGCGATGTAGGCCTCCATCGAGTTCACCAGACTGGTATAAATATCTTACATTAACTCTATCAGGAAGTTTTAGTTCTTTGCCTCTCCGTGGTGCTGAAGATTCGGAAGTCACAGATTTCATTTTAATCGAATTGGATGGTTTCTTCCCTATTAATCTCGTTACTTCATTATTCAGCGCTGATACAACAGCTGATAATCGGGTCACCCATTCGGATGATCTTAATCGATCTGATTTCATTTCAATCCCATATTGATATCCAGACAAACGTTTCGCTAATGTCCGGTTAAATCTTTCAACGATAGCTTGACTACGGTGGGCCTCTTTTTCACCACGCCTGATTTCGACATTGTGCTTTGTTAACAGTTTAGTAACTGATCCCATAAACTCGAGACCGGGATCTACTTGAAATAGATTAGGCCATTTTAGTGGTCCGCGTTTATATATACGGCTCAGTGCATTAGCTACTTCTGTTGAATCTTTCGAGGTTAATGGTTCACATCTAGCCACATCTACTACGGTTAAAGTGTATTTATACGTTTTGTGTCTTACCTTATCAAGGGGATGAAACAAGAGGTCAGCCTGATATACTTCATTCGTTGTAAAAATATCAAACTTCTTCCTCGGGATATAACACGGTGTAGGTAAGTGTATTTGCCACATCGCTTGTTTCTTTAACCAATTCTTGGCCACATCTTTAGATACCTTAGCCGCAGTGGCCAATTTTTTTAATTGCTCCTATACCTCTCCAATATCCTTGTGGGCTATAGTAAATTTTATCCATTATTAATTAATATTGATGATTCTTTTAATACGATTCATGATGATCGTTGAATCGCATCATCATTTTTGCATAAAAAATTCCATCTGTAGTTGCAATATAGGTATATAAATCTGGCTCCAGTGGGGTTGCGGCAGAATCACCATTACTTATACTACTGGATCCATGAGCCCAGGACTTACGCTGGGATGGGAAACACGTCTGGATGCTTTGGTTCCTACTACTGCTTCATGGTTCAAGACCTCTGCACGGTTCAAGACCGCTGCATTATTATGCTACAGAGTCAGCCCCCTATCACCAATGTATTTCCTGTTAATAAATATTTATATGTATTACCGTGTTATGCTGTTGCAGCACAAATTATATATTAATACAGCCTGACTAAAGGGCCACAAGGAAATTTTCAACGTAACATCATTTTGGCTTAAAATCATATCTGAATATTTTTTGAGACGTCTGATACTGAAAAAACAAAAAACTAACAATATTTAAATACTATTTGTTATCACTGAAATAAGAGGACTGTGGGATAATGGGTTACTAATGAAAAGACTTGATAAGCTGAATGCAAAGAGTGTGTGAAAACACAGACACGCACGCGCGTGCACGAGATCTTAAAAAGACTTTTCATACCTCTTTCAGTTTCTGTAATTCAGCTTGCAGATCTTGATAGCGAGCAGGTAGATCCCCCACACTTCCTTTACGCCCTTGAAATGTTTCATGTTCGATCTTGTATCTGCGCAAGTCCTCCAGTTCTTTTCCAAGCTCATCCAGGAGCTGGTACAAAGAGATATACACATTTTTCAAGCTATTACTCTCAAACCAACAAATACTGGATGTGTAGTCAAAAGTCTCAAAAAGTGACAAAGCACTGTAGCTTACCTGGATAGCTCACCTCAACAGCATCAAATGTCAACAAAGACATTAAAATTATCAGAGGTGAGGTCAGCATTGATATCTAAATATTTCCTGTGAAAATAGTGTTGATAAAGTAAACCATATACAATCCTAATGACTTGAACAAAATATGATCTCAACATAAGGAGACAAATACATGTCAAAGTTCAACTTCAAGTGGCAATTTCAGAAGAATAAGATGTTTTTTAAAGAATTTAAGGGCATGTCACAGCACACAACTCATTCAACAAGAAAACAGTATTATCACTATCCCCCATCATGGGGCACAATACAATTTTGTTTGTTCAAATAGCAGTGAATAATATGGAAGTTAATGTCAACTATAAAACAAATATCTCTCAGAAGCATGTAAAACTTTCATGTAGTTTTTCAGGAAACTTGTCCACATTGAAGACAGGATGCACAAAAATCTAAAAAACATGTATCAAAGTATGTAGCCCTGGAAACTCATGGCACCATTTTTCAAGCTCAGTCTTGTATCTCTCAGATAAGATTACAAAGTTTCATTCATGTAACTTTAGTAGTTTCTGAGAAAAGTTGTCACTGTTTCATGCAGTATGCACTTAGTTGAAAAGCAAGGAGCAGGGGCCATAACTTGGTAACAAATGAATTTTACTACACCAATTTTCTAACTCATTTGAGATCATGATTAGTGACATTTCATCTCTCTGACTTAAATAGTTAGGGAGAATTTTGTTCCCATTGACAACCGGCATCAGTCGAATTAAAGGTCACCAGTATGTAGCAATACTCAAATGTTACGAATAAAGTATCAAATGTTACTAATAAAGGTCATTATTTGCATATAAATAATCAACTTAGAAACAAAACAACTACCAATGACGAACCCTCAAAGAAAAGACGCTACATGAAAGAAAAAACAATGTGTATAAAACACAGAAGGATACCAAACCCCAAAGGACAACACTGACCATGAAAACACCAGATGGCGCTGCAATGTGTACAACATGCAGAGTTTAATCGGCTTGTTTCACTTTGTATAAGATAACTGCAGACCAAGGTGCACAATGTATTACATCATTCCTTGAACACTCGCTGTGTCATGTCACATACACGACTGACAAAATATATAGGTTGCATCTGAACCGCAACATCTAATCACAATTAAATTTCACATCATGCGTGTGATGCACATACACACAGAAGTAAAAGTGTGTGCTCCTTTAGGGGTCCTCACAATCTCTAAAGCTTATTAGCTTACAAATGCCTCAGAGACAGTATCTCAGTGAACGGACACAACTGTGGGCATGATAGAGGGGGGATATCCCACGTTGCCCAATTGTTTGGAAAATCAAAAAGAGTATTTTCTCGACTGTGGGACAAATGCTGTCAAAAGGGTTGGTATGAGACTTGGGTGTGGCAGGCCTAACAACACCGAGACAAGATCATCTTATTACATTAAATGCACTATGCGATAAATTCATACCTGTTTCTGTTATCAATAGAGAAATCAGTACAACAAGAAGAAGGTGAATTTCAACCTCTACCATTAAGAATTGGCTCTTTTCAGCCCGCCTCAAAGCAAGTCATACTGTGAAGGGTGTGACCGTAGCAGCTTACCATAGACAGCAGACTGGGGTGAGGTAGGCAACGCCTGGGACGGACTATGCGCCAGTGGCGTAATACCATGTTTACAGATAAATAAAGGTTTTGCCTCTGATTCACACATGGCAGAAGAAGAAGTTGGCGATGATTTTTACAATAATGGGTATGGGGACGGTAATGTCGTTGTGTGGGGCCGTATCACACATGACAGGCGAACTGATTTGGTTTTCATATCCCTGGACATTTGACTGTTGACAAAATTGTCTGGTTACATTTACTTTTAGCTAGGATTATCAGCAGACATTTTGAACTGCAAGATGACAATGCTAGACCACATCATGCCCAGGGTGTAACCAATTATCTTGGATTTAGATATTTGAATGGCCCGCTAAGTTCCCTGACATGTATCCAAAAGAGTATCTGTGGGATGTTCTAGAGGGGAGAGTGCAGGACAGAAACCCAGCACCCACCACCGTGGCCAAGTTTCATAAAATTTCATGCATGAATATAAATCTTGAAAATGTTACAGTATTTTCGTGTGTGCTCATGAGTATAATGGGTACAAATGCTATTCATTGTATTGTGTGCAATAATAATAATCTTTTCATCTTTCTTCCATTTGTAATCAGGAAAAATTCAGTTCAGCAGATCTGTAATACAACAAAAGAAATTGGCCTAATAATGAATTCATTTTGAGAAAGAAAATACAAAAATCATTTCACCTGTCCTGTTGTCTGCCTCTCATGTTCCGTCTGCTGAGTAAGTTTGTGTAATTCTGTCTGTAATTTCTGCTGCTCATCAGACAGGGTGTCATATGCATCCTGCAGGTCCAGCTTCTCCTGCAAGAAAATACAACATACAACATGTTAACTTCCACTGCCACATACATGTTCAAGTGCACAGCTAGGGGACAGCATACGGAAGATGGTTCATCACCCAATTTAGCTTAATTAATTGAGTCAAGTTTTTGCTGCTAACCACCTTAGGAAAAAAGTTATAAGCACTTCTGGTTTAATGACATCACTTCAGGTTTGGGAAAACATATGCTAAATGCAGATAACTTGGTATTTGCAGATTGATCTTTAAGTTAGCTAGATAAATAATGTGTCCTGTTTACATAAGGAATGAGAAAACTTAGACTTTGGTTAAATCTGAATCAATCATGACAATGTCTTTGCTGATATTGACAGATTTGGAATGACCCTCCTGACGTGTGCCTACATGACATGTACAAGCAGATACTTGCTGTCACCTGAAATCCAGTCCCAGATATATGAGCATCTATGCAGAAAAGTGATTAAAAATTCAATACTAAGTGTTAACATTTTAATAAAGAAACCAATCTAAGTAATCGTCATGAGAACATGATAATTTCATTAATCCTCAAAATGGTTACTCACAGATCTTACTTGGTGAATTTCGGTACGCAGTTGAAGTCGCTCCTGTGTCAACTTCTCATTATCATGCTCCAACTTCTGTAGCCTATGTTCATAAGCATAGAAGTTATAATCAAAGTATGCACACTTGATATAATTCAGACAGTAAAGAAAAGAATAGCATCAGACGACTTACACTACTCTACATTTGCTAAGTATCACACATATCGATAGTCCAATCAGAGAACATTTCACAAAATCAACATCCACAACTGGTACACCTTCGTATGAAAGTGATTTACCACTGCTTGTCTTCGTTGACACGAATATGTCTTTTTCATATTATAAACTCCACAACGAAAGCCTTTTTTTGTGTGTCCAGGATGAAATTGCGAATGTTTTCGTTATCTGATCGACCAGGTCGTCGCCTATGGTAGTCGCCATCTTTGATAAGCTGTACAAGATAAGAAAAGAGATCTGATTGGTTATCGCTTTCATAACAAGGGGCATAACTCATGATCTATGTGGGGTGGCCTTGACGTTGCAAGAGTAGAAACTAGGCTTTGATATAGGTGAGCGGACATGCTTGCCTTGGGAAGAGGTGGCACATTATGTGCATGCAGATGTAACACCCATCCAATGGCTACATAAAGATGAGTTATCCACAGTGCCTGATCCAGCCACCACGGCTTTTTTTGCAAATGTGAAATTCTCCTACTTGTCACTTGACCAAGGTCAAGTCACCTGGATCGCAGTGACGGAGGAAGGCCCTGACTCCAAAAAGATCAGATCCTTCAACAACTACATGATGTCAACTTGGTTTACAACAATGCCAGGTTCCCAGGGTGCATGGGGAGTGAACATGGAAACATTAGACCTCGAAAGATGACCATATGGATCTAGGAGTCTGTGGGACCCTCTCCAAACCAGAACAAGCATGAAATACTCACATCCCCCGCCAATATGACATGTCGGATGTGTGCAATGCATTAGCTCCTGTGAACTATGTTCACAGGGCCTTTTTGTAAAGAAATATACTACGTTTTTCAAGATCTGCTCCGGAAACGAGGACTACCGCCATTTTCAGTCTAAATCAAAGTAAAGTCGTTGCCATGGAAACTCGAAAAATAACTTTTAAACAAAATCCAAAACTATCCAAAGGCAACAGTTCACCACTAGACCTATCAATGTGAAAAATATGGTGAAGAAATATGGTATGGTTTTCAAGATCTACTCCGGAAACGAGGACTACCGCCATTTTCAGTCTAAATCAAAGACATTGCCATGGAAACTCGAAAAATATTGTTTTTAAAATCCCAAACTATTAAGAGGCACCAGTTCACCACTAGACCTATCAATGTGCCAAGTATGACAAAGAAATATGGTACGGTTTTCAAGATCTGCTCCAGAAACGAGGACTACCTCCATTTTTAGTCTAAATCAAAGTTGTTGCCATGGAAACTCAAAAAATAACTTTTTTAAAAATCCCAAACTATCAAAAGGCACCAGTTCACCACTAGACCTATCTATGTGCAAAGTATGGTGAAGAAATATGGTACGATTTTCAAGATCTGCTCCGGAAATGAGGACTATCGCCATTTTCAGTCTAAATCAAAGTCGTTGGCATGGAAACTCGAAAAATAATTTTTTCTAAAATCCCAAACTATCAAAAGGCACCAGTTACCACTAGATCTATCTATGTGCCAAGTATGGTGAAGAAATATGGTACGGTTTTCAAGATCTGTCTAGAAACGAGGACTACCTCCATTTTTAGTCTAAATCAAAGTCGTTGCCATGGAAACTCGAAAAATAATTTTTTTAAAAATCCCAAACTATCAAAAGGCACCAGTTCACCACTAGATCTATCTATGTGCCATGTTTGGTGAAGAAATATGGTACGGTTTTCAAGATCTGCTTCGGAAACGAGGACTACCGCCATTTTCAGTCTCAAAGAAAGTCGTTGCCAGGGAAACTCGAAAAATATTTTTTTTTAAAATCCCAAACTATCAAAAGGCACCAGTTTACCACTAGATCTATCTATGTGCCAAGTTTGGTGAAGAAATATAGTACGGTTTTCAAGATCTGCTCCAGAAACAAGGACTACGGCCATTTTCAGTCTAAATCAAAGTCGTTGCCAGGGAAACTCGAAAAATAATTTTTTTAAAAATCCCAAACTATCAAAAGGCACCAGTTCACCACTAGATCTATCTATGTGCCAAGTTTGGTGAAGAAATATGGTACGGTTTTCAAGATCTGCTTCGGAAACGAGGACTACCGCCATTTTCAGTCTAAAACAAAGTCGTTGCCATGGAAACTCGACAAATATTTTTTTTTAAAATCCCAAACTATCAAAAGGCACCAGTTCACCACTAGATCTATCTATGTGCCAAGCTTGGTGAAGAGGTGAGGTGAAATTGGGTTTAACGTCGCGTCCAAGATTATTGCACTTATATAGCGACGTGCATGCACGTGTATGTGTGTGTGTGGCTGCTTGTACTAGTCCGGACTGATGCCGATTTATAGTGCTAGCTCACTGAGATACCATGCCGCAGTTTAACATGAATACCCCACTCAGACACAGTATACTGACTCCGAGCCGACCAGTCCTTGTTTTAGCCCCTTAATGACGAGCGCCAGACAGGGTAACAACAAGTACAATCTTTAAACGTCTTTTTGTATGACGCGGCCCGGGATCGAACCCTGGACCTTCCACTCTCCGGGCGGACGCTCTACCACAAGACCACGGAGGCGGTTTGTTTGGTGAAGAAATATGGTATGGTTTTCAAGATCTGCTCCAGAAACGAGGACTACCCGCCATTTTCAGTCTAAATCAAAGTCGTTGGCATAGAAACTCGAATTTTTTTATTTTTTTAAATCCCAAACTATCAAAAGGCACCAGTTCACCACTAGACCTATCTATGTGCAAAGTATGGTGAAGAAATATGGTACGATTTTCAAGATCTGCTCCGGAAATGAGGACTATCGCCATTTTCAGTCTAAATCAAAGTCGTTGCCAGGGAAACTCCAAAAATAATTTTTTTAAAATCCCAAACTATCAAAAGGCACCAGTTCACCACTAGATCTATCTATGTGCCAAGTTTGGTGAAGAAATATAGAACGGTTTTCAAGATCTGCTCCAGAAACGAGGACTACCGCCATTTTCAGTCTAAATCAAAGTCGTTGCCAGGGAAACTCGAAAAATAATTTTTTTTAAAATCCCAAACTATCAAAAGGCACCAGTTTATCACTAGATCTATCTATGTGCCAAGTTTGGTGAAGAAATATGGTACGGTTTTCAAGATCTACTCCGGAAACGAGGACTACCGCCATTTTCAGTCCAAATCAAAGTCGTTGCCAGGGAAACTCCAAAAATTTATTTTTTTTAAATCCAAAACTATCAAAAGGCACCAGTTTACCACTAGATCTATCTATGTGCCAAGTTTGGTGAAGAAATATGGTACGGTTTTCAAGATCTGCTCCGGAAACTAAATGTGACGGACGGCCGGACGGCACCCATTCCTATATCCCCTTCCACTTCGTGGCGGGGGATAATAAACACACCCATGCAGGTCCTAGAATGGGCTGTTCATTTAAAGCCCTCCCCTGAAAATAAAGCCTGCAAGATCGTGGTGTTTCAGTTACAAACAGTGACTGGTAAGATAACTGAGTGCCAAGAGAAGCTTTTTGAAAACCATACCTGAACAGGATCATCAAAGGCCCTCAAATTTTGTATCAACTTGAATGATTTACTTTGGATACCACAAATGGCTCCATATCTAAATATAAGTCAACAGATTTTCTGTAGTTCTATCATAAAAAATCAAATCGGTCGTGTTTGAGCGTCTGCAACAATTACAGCTTGAGCAAAAAATAGCAAAGCACATGGTCATGTGTAGAAGTGACACATTCATTACATTTGCGAACAATTTGTTTTATTGTCTATATATTTATGTCAGAACAGCAGCACAACATTTTCGGTAAATTTAACAGTAAATATAGCTGTGGGCAGCGATGCGGGCTCTATGATTTTCTATGCAGTAGAGTTAATATTGTTATACTGGAGTAGAGAAGCCTGTTATGTACACACAAAGGTAGTGATGACAATCGTTGGTGAAGTCAGTGACAGAAACAAAGGATGAAGCCAGTAATATAAGAAACGGGATTATGGCTGATTCGGGCCTTTGATGAGTTGAAAGTACGCTAGGAGGTATGAAAATCAAAATCAAATATGGCCGCAACTAATAACTATCCCATCAAATATATCAATGTTTGATGTGTTATGTACGGAGACAAATCTCAGAAAGTTTGGTAGCATTTCATGTGGTGGATTCAGAGTTGTATGCTTTTGAAGACCTGTGTACCCAAAACACACTGTGAAAACCCTGAATCCAAAATGGCTGCCAAACCACGTGGCCAATGGCCAAAGTTAAAGAACAAAAGATGTCAAGCATATAAAGCAGCAGGCACATGTAGAGTGTGAAAGTAATCGGAGTAGCGGTTTCAGAGCAACGGGGCAAAATACATTTCATGCCAATAGTGAGTGAGTGAGTGAGTGAGTGAGTATGGTTTTTAGCCTCTTTAAGCAATATTCCAGCAGTATCACAGCGGGGGACACCAGAAATGGGCTTCACACATTGTACCCATGTCAGGAATCGAACCCGGGCTTTTTGGCGTGACGAGTGAACGCTTTAACCACAAGGCTACCCGACCGCCCCTCATACCAATAAATCATTTAGTTCCAGTCAATTTGAATCCACTTTATAAATGCAGTGCACATGAGTATGCTATAGTGTAATTTATTACTTCATATGCCATCAGTCCGTTTTGACAAAATTGGCGGGAGCCAGAGCATTCTTGGGTGTTCTGAACCCATTCCAGTCCTTGTTCATATTCGAATCCTCAAATGGATTCTTTGTACCAATGCTGTCAAATATAGACGCCGCTACGTAATTGACGTGTACAAGGGTGTCCCAGGGCATAGAGCCCTAATAATAAATCGAACGATTACAATAGGACAATATGATTACCATCATAATCTAGACGATCACACACTTCATACACACACCAAATTTGGTCGAAATCGGACCAGTAGTTTCTGAGTTACAA